TGGTCAATTTGCCTGCACGTATGTTCATGCATCAGTGTGTGCAGTACCCTTGGAGGCCAGAAGAGGGCATCAGATCCCCTGGGGCTACAGTCACAGATGATGTGTGTGCTGGAAATCGAACTCCCATCCTCTGTAAGGTTCTTAGCCGCCGAGCCCTTTATAGCCTCCTGTCGTGTTATTGCCAATGTTTCCACACATTCATTTTCTCTTCTGTTATTAATCTGTATTGTCCACAGTATAAACTTTCAAAATGGAGAAGCATATTGGCAAAAATCATACTTCGTATGCAGCCTCCATGTATGTATCCCATTGTATTGCATTATCAATTTGAGTGCTCGAAGAACAGAACTTAAGGGTAATATATATGTAAGTCAGCTACTTGTGAAGATAGTTCTGAGTCTATCTCTCTACTTTATTTACGCCATTTAAAAATTATTTTGCGGTTAAAATTATTTGCTTTGGCCAGTCCTAGTGAAGGTGTCCTGCTACCCCAGCTGCTCAAGAGGCTGACAACAGCAGAAAAATAGAAAATTCCAAGCCTCCCAGGGTTACAGAGCGAGTTCAAGTTTGGCTTGGGATACTTACTATGCCTCTGAGTGAAAAATACAAGGTAAGAATTTTGTTGGTGATGACAGGGCAGTGTGATCTCTGTAACCACTTCCTAGCTGAAATCAGGACATTGTCAGAGCCTGGGAAGGCTGGAATGTGGAAGGACTGGATGCAGGGGGGAGGATTCATTCCAGACACATCTGTTTGTTTCACTTGCTTCCCAGGTTCTGTGGGACTAGCGAAGTGCAGGCCACATTGGGACAGTCAGGGATGCTGGGGCTCAGGCCAGTTGAAAATTCTGTCAGAAGCATTTAGTTTACAACTTTTAGCACATCCCAGGGCTCACTGGTTCCAGTTTGAAGTGGTCTGCAGTTGACTGGAAATCTGCTGGGACAGAAGAGGGGGAAATCTTTATCCTCAGTGCTGGTAGTTAGTAGGCGGGGGTGGGGGTGGGGTTCCAGGACCAGGGGAAGGAGAGACCCCAATCTCCAATCTCGGTGGTAGGCAGCCAGTGAGAAAACTTAAACTGTTGACTGGCATACTTATCTGGAGTCCATTTGACCTGTGACAAATGGATCCAAGCGAAGAGTCCCTAGAATTTGTGTGATTTTTTTTTTTTAAGTTTACAAAAAGAGACACCGTTTTCGATAGCTGGGTACAACCACTGTCTGTAATCTGCACTCAAATCCATGCTGTGGAAAAGCTGTTAACGAGTGTCTGCAGAGAGCTGGAGTAGCCTCACGCCTTTGAGTCAGAGCAAAAGCTGTGGTTTGGGGTTTAAAGCATGAACACTCCTTCCTCTGTCTAGAGGGCGGGGTAGACAGACTCAACAGTCAGTGGCCTCCTCACACTTTAAGTCTTTACTTAGAAAACAATCCCAGGGGTTGATCAATTGCCATTATTCAATTGATAAAACTACAGCTAGTCACCAACATCACCAGAGGGCTGAGGACAAATCTGAGCAGGAAGTATAACCCAAATGACCTCTGTATTGATTCCTTGGATGATTGCCCTGGGCTCCTCCGTGGTGATTTCAATGACTTGTTTGGAGGCAGCAGAAGACAGCATTAAGTCTTCCACTGCTCCACAAGGGGGTGACAGTCTTCAGCGGCCAGACCCAAAAGGTCTGGAGACTTTCCTATGGAAGAGGAACTTAGGACAACTGGCCCATCTTAGCAAGGCAGTGTAGGGCAGTCAATTAAGTAGTGTCCCTGGTTTGGGCAAGGGCCCTGGTGGCAGGTGAGGCACGGGGCAGTTCTTTGGCCAATGGCCAGTGTTACTACAATCCACGTAGAGTTGCATCATCTTCTTTGGAGGACCTTGTTATGGTTTTGGTCCCTTTAAGAGACAAGCCACGCCCACTCCCTCCCCCATCCGCTGAGGCAGGCTGATCTTCAGCTTCCGGCCTGAGCTCTCTCTCTTTTCCATCTTCCTCTCGGAGAGGCAGCTTCGCTTCTGTCTCTCTCCCCACTTCTCTGCTTCCCCCCTTCTCTGTCTCTTTCTCCTCTTCTCTCTCTCTCTCCCTCTCTCTCCCTCTCTCTGTCCCCCCCTTCACCCTTCCTCCTCCATAACCCCCTGAATAAACATTCAACCTCACCCTGCATGTCGTGTCTATCCATGTTTCTGTCTTCTGCCTGCCCGCCATGTGTCTTCCTGCCTGGGACCAGCCATTGCTCAGGGACCGTCTCTGCCTGGGGCCCACTGCCTGCTGCCACATGGCCCGCCACCACTGCTCTGAGACCAGCAGCCGTCTCTGCCTGGGACTAGCTGCTCCCAGAGCCCACTGCCTGCCGCCACATGGCCCGCCACCACCATTTGGGACCTACAGCATTTCTGCTGCCTACTGCCGTGGGGATCTTGCAGCATTTTTTAAAAAAGAATAACAGACCTAATGGCTCCTGCGAGGATCTGTCATTTTTCTGTCTAACAGGGAAAGGTTTTTTCATTAAATACTCTAAATGCCATGCTCAGCAGGTTTCTGAAGAGTTTGAGGGCCATCATCTATTAAGCATACCTGATGTTAAGCAAACTCACTTCTTTAGTTACTAGCTTGGGGCACTTGCGAGTGACTAAATCCGACAGCGTTTACAGAAGACTAAAGGTTGTCACTATAAAAAAAAAAAAAAAGGTTGTCACTATAAATGAACTACGTTTGCACTTGGCATGACTGCTGGCGTAGTTCTGACCACACTGGAAAATCTGATCACGTATAAGGTGACTGACCATTAACTTTCATGTCTTAATTATCTTTAACAATCTACAACTTAATGTCTTTTATAAGATAAGCATTTTACAGTTTTATCCATGTGAAGTTTGATCCTTAAAATTTTTGAACTGAATATTTAATTGAAGATCCTTTAGGATTATAAAACTTTAAACCATAAATACAATCCATAGAGCTTGGGAACTGTCTTGATCCTGTCAAACTGCGCTACTACAGAATATCACGGGGTTTTTTATGACTCAGTTCTCCGAACAGCTAAAGCTTAACAAAGTTAGCAAAGACAAGAGGCTAGACACATATAACCAAGCCAGTGTCTGCTAGCCTGAAGAGACCTTAGGAATTTATAAATCCTATTTATCAAATATCCTTATTCATCAACCATATATTGCTCCTTATCTAAAATTTCTCAAAAGTCTAGTTTTGAACACAATTACAAAGACATAGTTGTTAGACATACATACCCAAGTCAGATTTTGTTAACCTTAGTAGACTTTTATAACCTTAGGGATTTATAAACCTTATTTATCAAACATACACTATGTTTTTACTGTAAGGACAAAATCCTCATACAAAATCCATCCTAATCCAAAATACCTTGGAGAATGGCCGTTACCGCCTTAGTCTAAAAGGAGATTCCATGACAAGCAGAGGACTTACTAGGAATAAAAAGTTTTATAGCTGCTGCTTAGTTAATTTATACCACGTGATCATCTTAATCAAGGTTGGGGTGAAACTGCATGGTGTATCCCTTTATTAAGGTTAGTAAAGATGGCTGTGAGTCACATGGTTGCCTCCATCCTGATGAGGATATCAATCAAGAGCAAGGCAAGCCACATGGCTGTTATTTAAAAATCGATTCTCCTAAATAAGAGTTTAATGCAAGTTACACACAAGTATGTTGTAGGAAATTAAGATGACCTATGTATAGATTTGTTTTTTTAGCTATCAGACTTTTGTTACAAATTATAATCTAACTTTTGTTATAGATCTTAGAGATTCTGAACCACACCATTAAACTTGCAAATCCTCAAATAAGGAATTCACACAAAGGTCTTAAGAGTTTTATTTTTAAGTCTAATGCATATTTATTATGCTTTCCTAATTTGTTGGGGGTTTTTTCGATAATTTTTTTTGTTTCTTGGGGTTTTTTAACATAATTCCTTATTGATTCTTCAGGAATTTCATATACTACATCTCAATCCCACTCACCTCCCAACCCCTCTATATCTACCTCTCACCCCTGTAAGATGCTCCCCCAAAATTAAAGACGAAACAAACAAAAGAACCCCCCCCACTCTTCTGTCTTTCCAACACCTCTTCCTTCATCCTAGTGGCATCAGGAGCTGTGGTGTGTCCCAGTGTTCCCTTTTGTCCAATCGGCCCCACCCACAAAATCTTCTTGGCATGGAGTCCTTGGTCTGGTTCAAGGACTCTAGCACACTTTTGGTCCTCACCAAAAGTCCTCTTGGATATCCTGCTGCTGTTGCCCGAGTCATGGAGATGCTGTGGCTATTGCTCCATAGTATCTACCAGTCCCTTCACCCACTCCCGCAGGTCACAGATGAGGCAGATAGATGTTCAGGTGGACCAACCCAAGGTCCAGGATGTGGGTCTAGGTGATAGCTCAGCTGAGCTGGTCACTCCAGGTTCTACCCCTTCAGGTGAGGGACAAAGCCAGCTTTCCTATGCCCATGCTCTCCCATACCTGTAGAGAGGGAGACATGGAATCATGTCTCCTGCATAACGGGGAGGGGGGGTGCAGCTCCCACGGATCCAGTCATGATCCTCAGTAGCAACCTGGACTTGGGTGTCACCATGGCCCCGGGTGTCAGCGTAGGCCGTCCCAATTAGCACGGCCCTCGGATACCAACATGGACTCAGGTACCTGACCAGATCCCTGCCGTCTGCACGGCCTTCAGTGGTTACTCAAGCCATAGACATCAACACAGACCCCAGCTGCTGCAGGGCCCTGGACCCAATCAAGGCCCCCCTGGCAGCAGCTCAGGACTGGATGTCATCATGTCCTCTGGTGGCAAGACAGGTCACTCAGATCAGCATGGCCCCGGAGGTGGCAAGGCCTTTAAACATTAAAAGGCCATAAGTGGCATCCCTGTGACCTTGGTGGAAACATGTGTCATGGACATCAACACAGACCCTGGCTGCCGTAAGACCACTGAGGGAGACAAGGCCCTAGACAGCAGCTGGGGGCCCAGATGCCACCGTGGCGATGGCCCTGGGTGGCAAGCAGGCCGCTCCCATCAGCCTGCTCCTCATCGCCATGGCCCGCGAGAGCCGGAGGGGGGGGGGGGGGAACAGGCCAACCACGTCAGCTTGTGCTTCTCCGCCCTCACTTCAGAACTGCCTTTGCCACAGTACAAGAACCATTCCACAGTCTTTCTCGACCGCGAACTTGTGCATTCTAATGGCACCCCCTGGTGGGCCCCTAGATGGTTCAGGCAGGATGGACCCTGTGGACCTCGGCTGCCCCGTGACTGTCTCCAGGTAGGACCTCTTAAGAAATTTTTTGAGAGCAGAAAGCAAAGAAAACAACGAGATAAAAGATTTTCAAATGGGAAGTAGAAAAGGCTTACAGATAAGAGACTTTTGGGACAATCTGGGAGAATTTGGGACTCACGGGTCCCGTTTTAGCCACTGAGCTGTCCTGAAGCCAAGACATTTGCAGTAAGACATCGAGGCTTTAATGAAATCTCTGAATCGAGGAGGAAAAAAAAAAAAAAAAACCTTAGAGGAGGGAAAGGTTTGAACTGGAGCTCCCCACCCCCACCCCCAGAGGGTGGGTTTCAATAGCGTCGTGAGCAGCCCTGGAGCTAGCTCCAGTCAGCCAATGGGGGGGGGGGGGGGGACACAGACGGAGCAGGCAGCCCCTAGGGGGCGGGAGGAAGCTCTGGGAGGGAAAGGTGGAAGCTAGAATTCCTGGTGACAAGAATTTCAATCCAAGCCGACTGAGAGACTAGGCACAGAGAAATGTCCCCTGTCACAGAGAAGAGTCATCGCTTTCCAAGTAATGGGGGCCCCGTAGGGCGAGTGGTGCTCCCCCCCCCCCGCCCCCGCACACTACTGTGACATTTAAAGTAATAATAGGCTCCAGAGAGCCAACAGGCAGCTCCAGGGTGACACCCGACAGATAAGGAGGGGGGGGGGGGGAGGAGACGGAGCCTTCCCACGTGACACCCAGGCTGGCCTCGCGCTCCAGGCACCCAGGATGGGTATAGCAGGCTCCAGGAGTCAGAAAGACCAAGAAATGTCCAGCATCATAGTGGAGGAGCCCAGCAGGTGGAGGGGAGGCGTGGCTGGAGAGGCAGACGCTAGAATTTGGAGTCAAACACGGTGGGTGGCAGAAGCCGGCGGAAACAACTGCTCACACACTTTAGGAGAATTAAGTCAGCAGCTTGGTTTTGACTAGGAGGGACCAGACCAGAGCCCATGGAAGAGGTCCATTTATGCCCCATAAGGAGGTTTCAGCACCAGATTATAAATCAAGGGCATGACTGCTCTATGGTGTGTTTGAGAGGAAGGTTTATCAGTATCATCATCATCATTACTACTACTACTGCGGCTGCTTTTATAGATATGAGGACAAATACAGCCAGAGTCAATTATAGCTGTTTAGAACAGGGAGAGAAAGTAGTAGATGAAACATGGTTAGCAGAACCAGGCCATGGGATGAGAGAGAGAGAGATGGAGGGTCAAAGAGAGAGACCAAGAGAGAGGTGGCTAAGAGAGAGGGGACCGAAAGAGGGAGGTGAAAGAGAGCACAAAACCAAACCCTCCCCCCAAAAATAGGGGGATTATAGGGGAACAGAAGCTGGGGAAGAAAGCCTATGAGCTGGGGAAGTTTAGGGTAGGGGATGGGGCCAGAAGAGCTGCAAGGAGCCACAGGTACCTGGGATAAGGAGAGAGCCTGGAGGCCAGCAGGTGACTGGGCAGTTAATAGGCACCAGAGAGGATGATGAGGAAATGCCTCCTTCGGTGGAGGGGAACAGGTACCGGGATCTGGGCAGCAGAGTTGCCTTTGGACCTGGCAGAGGTGCAGCCTTGAATCCCAGCACTCCTTCCTTAGTTTGTCACAACGTGGCAAAGGGGATCACGTGACGCGAAAACAAGCTAGAGAGAGTGGCAAACACCTGAGATCCCAGCGCACACTGAAAGACCCCCAGTGCTGGGGAGACTCTCACTCAAGTCCTGGGATAACACGATCACCCCCCCCCCCAGTAACTCACAAGAGACCGTCCTTGCTGCAATCACATGAAGCTTTAATGATGAGACAAGACGGGAACCAGTGCACTGGGGCGGAGACTCACAACCCACGCAAGGCGAGAGTTCGACCCCCAGTCACCGGGAGAAGCGATTTTTAAGGGAAGAAACCACAGCCCAGTGATCCGGAATTGGAAGGGAGTGTGTCACAGAAAATTCCGAAAATACCAGTGAAGATTACAAAGGGGCAACCTCCAGCCTCTCAGGACCACTCCCAAGGTCATTATCAGCTAGTTCTTAAAACACTTTACAGTGACAATCACAAGGGGGAAACTCCCTGTTTTTCAAGATTATTCTCAAGATTACAATCTAACTTTATCTTTAGCTAGTTCCTGAAACACAGTCAGTCACTAACCGGCTAATCCTAGATTTTTGATTCTTCTCTTCCTGTTTGGATTTTTGGCTATTTTCTTCCTGCTGGGATGGTCTGGATTTATCCAGGTCTTTCAACACGAGGCTGAGGCGAAGGGAGTTCCGTGAACTCAAGGTTGGCCTTAGCTGCAGAGAAAGCTCCAGAATGAGACCCAATCTCAAAATAAATAAAGAAAAAGGCTGGAGAGGTGACTCAGCAGTTAAGAGCACACAGTGCTCACACAGAGGACCTGGTCCTGTTCCCAGCACCCCTGTCAGGCAGCTCACGACCCCACCACCTGTAACTCCAGCTCCGGAGGATCCAATGCCCCCTTCAGGCCTCGCAGGCACTGCGCTCAGTGCAAACTCATGGTTAAAAGTAACATTTAGCCGGGGCGGTGGTGGCGCACGCCTTTAATCCCAGCACTCCAGCACTCGGGAGGCAGAGGCAGGCAGATCTCTGTGAGTTCAAGGCCAGCCTGGTCTACAAGAGCTAGTTCCAGGACAGGAACCAAAAAGCTACAGAGAAACCCTGTCTTGAAAATCAAAAAAAATAAAAAATAAAAAAAAAAAATAAGATTTAAATAAAAGATGAATGAAAGAACAAGAGGAAAAAAGCAAAAGAAAAGGAGGGGGAGTCCTCCATTTCCTAACTAGCTCACTTCCCGAACACACCATTAATTTCTGCGGAAGGGTGGCCCCCACATAGCTGCATCAGCCCTGAGACTGAGCTGGTGCAGTGGCACAGATGGTAAAGATGCTGATGACCACCCAAGTTCCATCCCCGGAACCTACACAGCGGTCCTCCACATACACACACATACGCACAATAAATTAGTTATTAATTAGTTTTAATTAAATTTAAAAGACCTAACCTTTCCACACTGCTGCAATTGAAGTTCAATGTCAACTTGAATTTGGAGAGGAACATTCAGACCACAGCACCATTGTACCATAGCACATAGCACCATAGATAGACTGTGGCTCTGGGGGGAAAAAAAAAAACAGGACCGGAGAGGTGGCTCAGCAATTAAAAAGTGGGGAGTTGAAAGACCTAAATAAATCCAGACCTTTCTAGCAGGAAGAAAATAGCCAAAAATCCAAGCAGGAAGAGAACAATCAAAAATCTAGGATTAGCCAGTTTAGTGACTGTGTTTCAGGAACTAGCTGAAGATAAAGTTAGGTTGTAATCTTGAGAATAATCTTGAGAAACAGGGAGTTCCCCCCTTGTGATTATCATTGTAATATGTTTTAAGAACTAGCTGAAGCAGGGCGATGGTGGCGCACGCCTTTAATCCCAGCTCTTGGGAGGCAGAGGCAGGTGGATCTCTGTGAGTTCTAGTCTTGCCTGGTCTACAGAGCTAGTTCCAGGACAGGCTCCAAAGCCACAGGGAAACCCTGTCTCGAAAAACCAAAAGAAAGAAAGAAAGAAAGAAAGAAAGAAAGAAAGAAAGAAAGAAAGAAAGAAAGAAAGAAAGAAAGAAAGAAAGAAAGAAAGAAAGAAAGAAAGAAAAAAGAAAGAAAGAAAGAAAGAAAGAAAGAAAGAAAGAAAGAAAGAAAGAAAGAAAGAAAGAAAGAAAGAAAGAAAGAAAGAAAGAAAGAACTAGCTGATTATGACCTTGGAAATGGTCCTGAGAGGCAGGGGGTTGCCCCCTTGTAATCTTTTATCTTCGGAATTTTCTGTGACACACTCCCTGCCAATTCCGGATCACTGGGCTGTGGTTTCTTCCCTTAAAAAATCGCTTCTCAGGGTCACTCGGGGTCGAACTCTCCCCCTGCGTGGGTTGTGAGTCTCGGCCCCAGTGCACTGGTTCCCATCTCATCTCCATCATTAAAGCCTGTGTGATTGCAGAAAAAAAGAAAAAAAGAGTATTTGCCGAGGATTTGTTTGGGTCCCAGCACCCGCGACGGGAAACTCACGACCGGCTGTAATTCTAGTTCCAAGGGATCCAACACCCTCTTCCAGCCTTCAAAGACACCCATATATGTGTGGCGTACGTTCACACAACCACTCATTCTCTGTGTAACAGCCCTGGCTGTCCTAGAACTGGTTCTGTAGACCAGGCTGGCCTCAAGCTCACAGAGCACCTGAAACAAACCTTAAAGAAGAGAAGACTCAAGTTCTTCAATGTGCTCTGGACAAATGAGACACGGCGCTCTACTGTGAAGGCACAGGATGCTACAGGACATAAAGAGCTGGTGGAGAGAATCCTAGCACCCAGACTTCTGAGTTGAGGTTCCCAGAAATCACGGCAGTATCGAGCCGCCGCTGGAGGAGGTTTGCTGAGGATCTCAAGGCCTTGGTTTCTTATACCCTTTCTAAGGGAACAGCTAAGAGGAGTTTCACTTTAAAAAAAAATATTATTACTATTTGTGTGTATGTGGGGGGAAGGGGAATGTGATGCGTGTATGGCATCCGTGTGTGGTATGTGTGTACAGCATGTGTGTGTGTGTGGTGCGTGTGTGAATGATATGTGTATGTGATAAACGTGTATGGTATGTGTGCAGTGTGTGTGTGTGGTTCTATGGTATGTATGTATGATGTGTGTGTGGTATATGTGTATAGTGTGTGTGGTATTGTGGTGTATGTATGATGTGTGTATATGGTGTCTATGTATGATGCGTTTGTATTTGTATGATATGTATGTATGAGGTGTGTATGGTGTGTGTAAATGGTGTGTGTGGTGTATGTGTATGGTGTGTGTGCGCGTGTGTGGTGTGTGTGCATGGTATATGAATGTGTGTTGTATGTGTGATGTTGTGTATGGTATATGTGTGTGATGTGTGTATACTGTGCATGTGTGTGTATGGTGTGTTATGTGGTGTAGGTATGGTGGGCATATGGTGTATGTTTGTGTATGATGTATGTATGGTAT